TCTCTCCCACGCTGGTCTTTTCCCACCCCTTCCTCTTTCTCTTCAAAAATCAGTCTTCTGGTGTTTTTATTCCTTTGCCCTTCTCTCCTTTTTTCCCCTCTTCTCCATCCAGATGGAATATGTTTAGAAGGACTTGTTTAGAGTATTTATTCTCATAGCATTTACTGTGCAGCTACAAAGATTCATTCATTCATTCAACAAATATTTGTTGAAACTCTACTTTTATGCCGAGCTTTGTGCAAAACGAACAAGACAAAAAAGACTCTGCCCTAAGGGAATTCCCCATATGCCCTGGGAAGGCAGATAGTGCACAAACATAGAAATAATTAGACTATTACCAAGTGTCATTAATGTTCTGAATGAAACGGATGGGTTGCTGAGATGAAGAACAATATAAAAGGACACTTTTTCCTTGAGTTCAGAAAGGGCACAGCCCCTTAGAGATGTGTTTAAGCTGAGACCTAAAGCTGGGGAGGAAGATAGCCAAGCAGAGCACCTGCGGAAGAGTGGTCCAAGAGGATGAAACAGCAAGCACAAAGGCCCTGGGGCAGGGAAAAGTGGCTCCTTCGGGATGTCTCCAAAACCTGATCCATAGCCTGGCACACAGCTGGTGCTCGGTCAGTACTGGTTGTGTGAACAAGTGAATTATCTGACCCGGGCACTGAAGCATAGGAAGCCAGCAGGAGAGAGGAGAGAGATGGGCAGAGGCCAGGCCATAAAGGAAACTTTAGGTCATGAGTGAGATGACTGAATTAACCAATCAACTTTACCAATCCATGGTGCTCTTCTCTCATCCCTACACCTAGCACAAACCCTGATCTGAATGAAGTAGCAGTTCTCAAAGTGTGGCCCCTAGACCCCTGATGACCAGTCGTATCATTTGACATCTACATTCTTAATGTGACAAGAGCCACGTTTTCATCCATGAATTCATTATTAATGAATATGTAAATTATAACATTTATTCATTAATTGCGATGGCAATTTGTTTAAAAGGCCAGTGTTTGTTCACTCGTATCTAATCAAAAGAAGCCCCACCCTTCCCCTGCAGTCTGTAAGGTTTCCTACTTGCAAAGAGAAGAGGTGGTAACTTTTCAGGGGTGAAAAGTTAGAGTCGCTGATCCCAAATTCCTGGAATGCAGTAACTTCTAAAGCAAATGCAGTATCATTATTATACAGGATAAATCTGTTCTAAAGAACTTGAGGAATTCCAAACAAAGATGAGAACAAAGAAAAAAAATAAATCAATTTATTTACACTTTGTACGGTAGTTTCAAATAAACTTGTAGAAAAGATGGTATCTGGCAGCTTTTCCTAATCCCACGTTGCCTTGACTCATTATAATTCTAATTTTTAATATTAATATAAGTGTTTTTAAAAGGAAAAATGCAACAATAATATCCCGAATTTAAACTTTCCCTCATCATTTCATATGTTAATTCTTATGGGTTATTTAGGCCCCACTAACTTTTGGAGCATTCTGTGTGAGCCTTAAAATTCTCAAAAAAGAACTGGCAGTTACATACGTTTAGCAAAAAAATGTCTATGACTACTGGTCCTTTCATTCACTCATTGCTATGATTCTTCATATAATTGATATTTAAATAGATAAAGGGCAATAATACATGATTCTAAATACGTGTCTCTCTTTGCTGGATCAAAAATAAAATAAATGTATATAAAGAAGTCATTCCTTCTTTTTTTGGAAAGAAGTCATTCCTTTTTTCTGAGTTCCTATTCCCAAGGCATTATTAACAACTCACTGTTAGTAACACAGAACTTGGAAGCATCTAGACTGTGTTGTGAGGAGGCTTTGCCATTGCTTTCTTGGTTAGTTCCCAAATGTTGCCTTTTTGGTCCGTTTTCCTGCACCAAAAGAAGGATTATAAGAAAGGATTGGTACACAGTGTACTGGAAATGAAAATAATTTAAAAATGAACTTATAGGGTACAATAGGTTGCTGGCATGTAGTGTTTTTTTAAAAAGATGCTTGGGAAAACTTGGAGAACATAGGATCTGTTGATTATTTCTTCAAAGAACAGAAGAGCATTTAGTAAATGTGGATGAAAAGATTCCAAACTTGAAGAGCAATTTATGAGAAAATTTTATAAACCTCAGCAGAAAAGGCAAAGATTGGCAGTAGAAGTTGGGAAAGTGCTACCTATGTGAAGGATACATTTTCAAAAGAACAAAAAAGGTGATTTGGATGCAATTTATAACTAACCAGCCTAACATTTGTACAGCACATTAGAGTTTGCAATGGTGCTTTAGCATATGTGATCTAGTTTTTCTTCGGAATAGCTCTGGGAACCATTTAGAATAGATATTATTCCAGTTTTACAGATGAGGAAAGCACAGTGTCTTCTGAACACAGCAAAAAAAGGAGATGTTGAAAAGAAAGAAAGCTGAAAAAAGACCCCTATAAAGGCTGCGGGAGGCCTGTGGGCTTGCAGTATCTGGGGGAGAGGTGGGTGCCATTTCTGGTGGTGCAGAAAGGCCTGCCAGGCCGTGAAAGCTGTTGAACTTGGGCGCAAAACATGGAAGGCAAATGCTCTTTTCTTTAGTGACCTGAACAGCGAAATAGCAAAGATTCAGTTTTTCCAGAAACACACATATGTTTTAAGTTTGACCTTCTTTGAGTGTTTGCTAACTTGTAAAGTAAAGGAGATTTGAGATCTTTGGTCTGGCTGCAGAGTGAAAGCCCACAAAATCTCTGAAAGAGTAAAAGCTTCATTTTTTTTTATTAAGAGATTAAAAAAAAAAAAAGTTTCCAAAAAGAATTGAAATAATTTTTCCCTTTTCCCTGCTTTTCCTCAAAGTAGATACAGTTGATATAGTAACCAATAATACAGCTTTATGTATATATAACCTATTTGGAAAGAAGGGAATATGTCATCTTTTTCATAGATTTTGCCCTATAGTATTCTGACTTGAAAATTAAAATGTGAACTCGCATCTCTTTTGGCAGCTGTCAGGGATGGCACCCCCAAAAAGCAATCAGATATTATGAAAGTTGTTGCAACACGATTATCACCTGTTAATTAATTGTACAATTAAACATTTTTGCTCTTTGGTTATTGGTAACTTTTAAAATCCATTTTCAGATACACAATCATTCAGATGCTGAGCCAGTTGCTGTAAAGCATATAGTTAGTCCTGAAAACTGCGTAAATTCCTTTTTTTTTTTTTTTTTGGGTAATCTGTGGGGGAGCTGAGCCATCAATAGTATCTTCCACAAGCGAGAGTTTATATTTCTTTCTTCTATTCCTTGGACAATTATGGATGCGCAGTGATGAAACTGTTCTGCCTGTGGGTTGAACAGTTGGTTGTGACAATGCTTGTTCTTGGTTAGCACCAGTTGCCTAAGATTTCGGGAGGACACGGACCTCTACACAACAGAAGGGGGAAAGTGAATGGCAGAAAGGCGTAAAGGTCAAGTTGACAATGGCAAAGGTCCTCTGGGGGGGGGGGTCTTTTCCCCTCGCTGGTGTCGGGGGGGATGNGCTGGTGTTGGGGGGATGCGCACTGGGCCCAATGAATGCTCTGAGGTGAGAAGGGCAAGAGCAGTCTAATAAAAGGCTTCAGGAAAGAGTGTGAACGACCCAGGGAAATCTGCTGTGGTTCAGTTTAGTCCTGGGAAAAAGAGGCCCTGGAGAAAGCAGATGAGGAAGATAGGAAGGAAGACGGGGAGGGGGCTCTGGGTGTGGAGGGAGGCAGGGGCAAGGGTCGGGGCTGGACAGTGAGAGGGCCGAGCGGGGCCCAGGGCCACCGAGTGGGGAAAAGTGAAAGTCGGGGGGGGCAGGGGGAGGAGGAAGCCGAGCTCCGCGGCCCCAGG